TCCTGCATTAATAATGTACTGAATGCATATGTTCTAATGTACTTTTTGCATGCCCATAAAATCTGCTCTCAGGAAACTGCACTTTTTTAGTTATCTTGGGTTTAATATATACAGATTTTGAAATGTACTTTCTTTTTTTTAACACACTGGCCATTTCCCACTGAGGCAGGGTGACTCAAAGAAGAAGAAACACTTTAACCATCACTTACTCCATCACTGTCTTGCCAGAGGTGTGCTGATACTATAGTTCAAAAACTGCAACACATCTCCACCCATCCTTTAGACTGCAGGCACTGCACCCCCTCCCCCCCCCCCCACCTCTAGGACTCAAGTCCAGCTAACCAGTTCCCCTGAATCCCTTCATAAATATTACCTTCCTTGTACTCAAACAAATGTCAAGTCACTTGCCTCCATTCACTAACATGCTCACACATGTTTGCTGGGTGTCTAAGTCCCTTGCACGCAAAACTTCCTTTACCCTGGCCCTACAATCTTTGTTAGGAAAACCTCTACCCAGTCTTCCTTCTATACAAATTTATTCACCCTCCAATTCATCCTTTATTGTTCCACCCTCTCTAAATGTCTGAACCATCTCAACAACCCCTCCTCAGCTCTCTGAATAATACTTTGAGTAACCACGGACCTCCTCCTAATCTCCAAGCTACGGAGTCTCTGCATAATATTCGCACTACATACTGCCCTCAGACACAACATATCCAACTGCCTCCAGCCTCCTCCTCGATGTAACATTCACCACCAATGAGTGTTAATACCACTATACTCTCATACATTCCCCTTTTGATTCCAAGGATAACATTGTCTCTCCACCTTTTTACCTTCCTCAATTCTATGTTTCACCTTGTATTCATAGACCCATCTCCATACTCCCTCCCTCCAATCTAATATCCTGTCTTTCATTACCTAATTCTCTTGTTACCCCTCATCACTCTGCTCTTTCCAATGTTCACTTTTAATTTCCTTTTATTACATACCCTCCCAAATTCATACACCAACCTCTGCAACTTCTCTTCAGAATCTCCCATAAGCAGTGCCATCAGGAAAAAGCAACTCCTGCTTTGTGTTAGATCTCTCTTGGAATTTTCATTACTACCAGATGCAAATTTAATGCAAACTATTATGGCAGGATTAGGCTTGTATGCTACACCATTATGAAATTTAATGTAAAAAATTAAAGAATTTAGAGAAAATTCTTTTAAAAATAATCATGTAATGTTAAATTATTTCATTTACATTTCATGACTCATTATATTATAAAAATCATAGCAAATATCTTTAACTTCGCCTAGAATATATAATTCGCTAAAGTATCATGAAAATCTTATACCAAGAGAATGTTGGGGACCAGTCTGGGCCTTTATTTACTTCTGAGTTAAGCCTTACCTTTCTAATGTACTGTCTCCAGCTGAGGCAAGGTGACCCCTCAAAAAAGAAACACATTCACCATCATTCATTCAATTACAGTGGACCCTCCCTTTTCGTCTTTAATTAGTTCCAGAGTCTGACATAATGTGAAATTGACTAAAACTGAAACCACTTTCCCCATAAGAAATAAAGTAAATCAATTAATCCGTTTCAGACATCCAAAAGTATAAACAAAAAATACATTTTATAGAGAAGAACTACATTCCACGGCTTATTTATCTATCACAATTCATCTAATGTGACATAATAAGTAATATTATTAACATAGAAACATGATATATACTCTAGAATGAATAAAATATGTCATTATGTATGTGAGGAGTAAGTGGCGGGGGTGTTGTTGTTAGGTTTATAAGGGCCACTGAGAGAAGCTGCACATATTAGTGGTAGTTGAGGCAGCAGCAGAAGCCACCACCACTATTCACACAAACAATGTACATAATTTATCAACAAGAAAAATTTACACTTTAATTTATAAGAAATATTTATACTGAGTAACATGCAAGATTTCAGGTACGTCTTGCTACTTCTACTTGCACTTAGGTCACACTACACATACATGTACAAGCATATATATACACACAAACCTCTGAGTTTTCTTCTATTTTCTTTCTAGTTCTTGTTCTTGTTTATTTCCTCTTATCTCCATGGGGAAGTGAAACAGAATTCTTCCTCCATAAGATAAGCGTGTAGTAAGAGGCGACTAAAATGTCGGGGGCAAGGGGCTAGTAACCCCTTCTCCTGTATATATTACTAAATGTAAAAAGAGAAACTTTTGTTTTTCTTTTTGGGCCACCCTGCCTCGGTGGAATACGGCTGGTTTGTTGAAAGGAAGAAGAAGAATGATTTATACCGAGTATAAATATTTATGCTAAGTATACCAGGAAAAGTGTACGGTAGGGTTATAATTGAAAGAATTAAGGGTAAGACAGAATGTAGGATTGCAGATGAGCAAGGTGGTTTTAGAGTGGGTAGGGGATGTGTAGATCAAGTGTTTACATTGAAGCATATATGTGAACAGTATTTAGATAAAGGTTGGGGAGTTTTTATTGCATTTATGGATTTAGAAAAGGCATACGATAGAGTGGATAGGGGAGCAATGTGGCAGATGTTGCAAGTATATGGAATAGGTGATAAGTTACTAAATGCTGTAAAGAGTTTTTATGAGGATAGTGAGGCTCAGGCTAGGGTGTGTAGAAGAGAGGGAGACTACTTCCCGGTAAAAGTAGGTCTTAGACAGGGATGTGTAATGTCACCATGGTTGTTTAATATATTTATAGATGGGGTTGTAAAGGAAGTAAATGCTAGGGTGTTCGGGAGAGGGGTGGGATTAAATTTTGGGGAATCAAATTCAAAATGGGAATTGACACAGTTACTTTTTGCTGATGATACTGTGCTTATGGGAGATTCTAAAGAAAAATTGCAAAGGTTAGTGGATGAGTTTGGGAATGTGTGTAAAGGTAGAAAGTTGAAAGTGAACATAGAAAAGAGTAAGGTGATGAGGGTGTCAAATGATTTAGATAAAGAAAAATTGGATATCAAATTGGGGAGGAGGAGTATGGAAGAAGTGAATGTTTTCAGATACTTGGGAGTTGACGTGTCGGCGGATGGATTTATGAAGGATGAGGTTAATCATAGAATTGATGAGGGAAAAAAGGTGAGTGGTGCGTTGAGGTATATGTGGAGTCAAAAAACGTTATCTATGGAGGCAAAGAAGGGAATGTATGAAAGTATAGTAGTACCAACACTCTTATATGGGTGTGAAGCTTGGGTGGTAAATGCAGCAGCGAGGAGACGGTTGGAGGCAGTGGAGATGTCCTGTTTAAGGGCAATGTGTGGTGTAAATAATATGCAGAAAATTCAGAGTGTGGAAATTAGGAGAAGGTGTGGAGTTAATAAAAGTATTAGTCAGAGGGCAGAAGAGGGGTTGTTGAGGTGGTTTGGTCATTTAGAGAGAATGGATCAAAGTAGAATGACATGGAAAGTATATAAATCTATAGGGGAAGGAAGGCGGGGTAGGGGTCGTCCTCGAAAGGGTTGGAGAGAGGGGGTAAAGGAGGTTTTGTGGGCAAGGGGCTTGGACTTCCAGCAAGCGTGCGTGAGCGTGTTAGATAGGAGTGAATGGAGACGAATGGTACTTGGGACCTGACGATCTGTTGGAGTGTGAGCAGGGTAATATTTAGTGAAGGGATTCAGGGAAACTGGTTATTTTCATATAGTCGGACTTGAGTCCTGGAAATGGGAAGTACAATGCCTGCACTTTAAAGGAGGGGTTTGGGATATTGGCAGTTTGGAGGGATATGTTGTGTGTCTTTATATGTGTATGCTTCTGGACTGTTGTATTCTGAGCACCTCTGCAAAAACAGTGATAATGTGCGAGTGTGGTGAAAGTGTTGAATGATGATGAAAGTATTTTCTTTTTGGGGATTTTCTTTCTTTTTTTTTGGGTCACCCTGCCTCGGTGGGAAACGGCCGACTTGTTGAAAAAAAAAAAAACCTAGAAGGGTGTGTATATATATGCTTGTACATGTATATGTAGTGTGACCTAAGTGCAAGCAGAAGTAACAAGACATACCTGAAATCTTGCATGTTTATGAGACAGACAAAAGACACCAGCAATCCTACCATCATGTAAAACAATTACAGGTTTTCGTTGTACACTCACTTGGCAGGACGGTAGTACCTCCCTGGGCAGTTGCTGTTTACCAACCTACTACCTAGGTATGATAATCTATGTAACTGTATTTGTGTACACCTGAATAAACTTACTTCAGCACATGTGGCATCGTAAGTTTATTTAGGTATATACAAATAAAGCTACATAGATTATCATACATAGCGGCATATGTTTGGAGAACCTAGGATAACCCAAAAAAAAGTCAGACTTATTTCCATTAGGGTCCCTGTACCATACAGTACAATGTACCATATGGTATAATGTACCATATGGTACCAATGTACCATATGGTACCATTGTACCATATGATACCATTGTATGACATGGCACCATTGTACCATATGATACCATTGTATGACATGGCACCACTGTACCATATGGTTCAAAACCATAAAATTCCTCTTCAGATCCACTTCCATCAGTCTTAGAACTGTAAGTTGTGAAGAGGAGAGTCAGAATTCGCCAGGAGAGTGAGTGGGGAGTGAGAGCTTCCTTGCCACCAGGCATAATGAACAAAGCTACTTTGGCGGTGTTCCCACAATGCCATGTAGATGTCCAGATTTTTTCTATAGTGTGCACACTGACCACCCAGACCCATTCTCTCAGATGTCGGCCTACCAGCCTTCTTGCGCTAAATTTGACGCCTCTAGAATTTTGGCGTAGATCTACAGTTTTGACCCTCAACGTAAAGCCGTAGATCTACGGCACGGACCCTGAAAGGGTTGATGCTTAAGCTCTGATGAAAAAAATTACAGCATTATTATGACTACTAATTGCATTGTTATAATATATTTACTATATTTTAAATAACTGTACAACTGTGGCTTGCTTAGTCACCAGAACATCATATCAAGGATCCATAGAATGTTCCCTAACTTACCTTAGTGTTGTGTTGAGGTAACCCAATGCATTCTCAGTATCACAGTCTGATACCGTCATATGGGATTTCATATCCAGGCTTTGTGATTTATCAATTCCATTTGGGGTGACTGCTCCCTTGATGCCTTCTGGGATCTACATTGAACACAAAAAAGTATTCTTAATACATGTATTTATAAGCAACAACCTTATCATAAAAAACAGGATACGTTTAACCCTTAAACGGTCCAAACGTATATATACGTTCTCTCGCGTAGCGCCCCAAACGTATATATACGTTTCATTTGTCAGTCATTCAACATTGGCACGATATGCCTGAGTCGCCTAGACACGAGAGAATGGGTATGCGCACTCAGTGTGTGCCATATAAAAAAAATTGGGGACGCCTGGGTACCACATGCTCTTTTTTCCTATAAAAAAAAAATTTTTTCCTCAAAATATTCGAGGCGTTCCACGAGAGAACGTATATATACGTTTGGACCGTTTAAGGGTTAAAATTATGGTATATGAAACTGATTGATAATTATTTCCCTAAGACTGAACATGCATTTTTTGAGAACTGTATCAACGAACTAAATAACACTTATCCACTTTTGCTGCTTTTATTATGAATCTTTCTAATACAAGTTGGCTATCACTAATCCAGCAATCAGCAATCTGATTCCATCAGCAATCCGGCACTAATTCTGGCTAGCGTAATTTCAAATTTCCAGGGTTGCCTCACCAACCAGCCGCTTCCTTTTGGTGGCGCTACTTGCTGCATAAATCATTCCCATTCCTTCTTCTCCATTTATTTTTATAACCTGCTCACTTTTAGCCCTAGCCATCGTTCCAACAAATAAAAGAAATGCTTCTCGTTATGTAAAGCACATACACCGCACATTGTCCTTAAAATATAAGGTGGCTTTGAAGCCACTGTAGATCGCCATGAGCTCGGCTCACTCAGATAAGCTGTGACCGGTAAATTTGGGCCTACATATGAGAGCATAGGTCTGTGTGGTAAGTGTGCACTATATATATAATATATATATATATATAATATATATATATATATATATATATATATAAAAATCCTGCAGCACGCAGTGCATAATGAGAAAAAACGGCATCTGTGTTTTTGAAGTAAAACAGCAACTTTTGCGGTGTATTTTCCTATGGACTGTACGGTTGTACGTGTATTCTGGTTTGTTTGGTCTCATTTGACAGAATGGAAGATATATTACAGAAATTGATAAAAATTCAAAATGGAAAGCAAGCACAATATAAGAGGGGCCTGAAGATGTGACTAATGAACAGAGAAAATGTTATTTTAGTACCAGAAATGTCTGCATTGTTTATTCTGGACCATATTTTGAAATTGGCATCTCTTGAAATTTGTGTGAAACTGGCCAAATTACCAATTCCTGACCATTTTATTGGGTAGTTGAAATAGGTAAATGGGAGGTTTCTTGTACTCAATCGATAGAATAGAAGGAATACTAGTGAAATAACTACGAGTTTGGTAGTCTGGAACAATGGAATAGGCCAAAAATAGGACCTAAAGTGGGTGAAATCGCCAATGTGTAAATATCGCCATTAAGTGTATTCTAACCTAACCACTCTGTAATCCAGCAAAATCACTAATCCAGCACCCTACAGGTCTCATTGATGCCAGATTAGTTATGGTCAACCTGTACTGGCAATCATTAGAGAAACACAAGTAGTAATGATAAAAGATTCAGTCAGGTTACATTGTACAATAAATCACATGAATTTTTTTTTTAATTAATTCTTGTAGAAAACTTGAAATTATTATCAAGAGGTTAATAAGTAGAGCTTCATGACCAACACCTACTTAATAGCTATTGTGAAAATAAAAGCTTATATCTAGCTATTTTCAAACTAAGTATTCAGAATTATTAAAACATATTGAAAGGATTGCCAGCTTATGAATAAATTCCTGACGTCAAACATACAAACAAATTTTGATAAGGAAGCTAATTTCCTGTAGAAGAATAAGAGTTATCTATATTTCACACACATTCAACACTGAAGCTCAGCAGTCACCAAATGTAATTGGTTCCTAACTGCCCATACAAAAGTGGTTATGGGTCTTCATAATATGGGGTCCCCTATATGTATTTAATACCAAATATTTATGTAGTACTATGAACATTCTGTCACAGTTTATGGAATTATAAGATGTGTTCATGAAGCTTAGCGATGCATGATCCTCCCCAATACCCATTACTTAGCACTGCCTTCTGTGAATAAATCAATTTTATAGGTTAAAATACAAAAAGACAAAAACTTGTGTGTAATGTGCAACCACAAAAAAACACCATAAATCCAGTGCGGTCACCAAAACAACCAGTGTGCAACCAGTGTCTTCAATTCAAGGCAAAAGTTACTCATTCTCAAATTCAATATGAGGTTTGTACATTTCAGTGGAAAGTTATGACTGTGTACAGTAATGAATAACTAATGCCTAAGTTAAAAAAAAAAGTAAGAGAGAAAATTAACACTAAACAGATTACTTTCACACTTTCATCTATATTAACCTCCTCGTATGTTTCCACTTCTACAATATTCAAATTTGATCCTGTGCTTTTGCTGGCCCAGTTCTGAGATTTATCTCTTTTCTTGGTTGTTATTTTCGACTCCTCCTGCTATATATGTAAAGAAACATGAGAATAAATAAAAACTGGAAAATGAATGCCACAAAACCAAAGACTGTTGAGAAACTATGCAGAGAACATCAACAAAAATTACAGTAATGCCAATTTGAAAAGGTGTTACAGTACTGTATCATGAGTGTTTCATTTAAAAAAAAATGAAGAACATGCTCTTCACATGGTGAGCTAAATAAACATGCACAGAAAACTGATGAAACACATTCAAAACAATATCCAAATATTACATGGTAATAAAAAATAAAGTAAAAAAAAAAAAAGTACTGCACAATAAATTGTTAGAATTATATAGTTTGACTATTACACTGTATGTGACATGATAGACCCATAAGGATCAGTCAGAACAAGGAGTAAAACTTTATCTTCCATCTAATAATTGCAAGACAGACATGTTATCTACCTATACTTGCTATTTAACTCGGATAGTAAGGTTAATTTTGATGATAAAAAGTAGCAAATGAGTTAAAAGTAATAAAAAACTTAAGAAAAAATAAACAGGTGCAGAAAGCAAGGCTAAACTAAATAAAATAAGGATGAGATGGCAATATACAATAATGGCTTCTATCACTGTATTTATATTTTACTTCCTTGACTGCAACTTAAAATTTAATACTCACAGCCATCACATAACCAAGAAAGTCTCCAAAACAATAGGCACCCTCTCCAAGATATGTTAGTATGTACCTCAAACAACAATACTTACATTGTACCAATTTTTAATCTACCCTTAGCTCACCTATGGTGTTTGTGCCTGGGATTCTACTTCACTAAGTCACTTAAAACCATTAATACTTCAACAAAAAGCTACTGTGCATATCACTCATTCCGGTGCCTGACAACACACTCCCCCACTCCTCAAAAGCTTGAACTTGCTTAATATACAAAATAAACACTCATACTACTGTGCCTATTATATATATAGAACATCAAGTCCAACAAACCCTTCTCCAAAACTTTTCCTTGATAGCTGCAACAGAACACACAGGCATAACACTAGACACAAAACCCTCTTTGACATCCCCTGTGTCTGACTCAACCTATGCACATAAAAGCCCCCCCCCAAGATCTGGAATGCATTGCTTAAAGCATCAAAAGGCCTCCTATCTGCCAATCAATTTAGAGCTCCTGTTAAAAAACACCTTATCTCCTCAGCATAACTAAAATAAGTTCATTCAGCTCTGTCCCTGTTCTTCTTCCAGTCTTCCTCCAACTCTCATAAAAATTTAACCCGTAAACGGTCCAAACATATATATACGTTTTTTCAACATTTAAAAGTATGTAAAAAATTAGATCTTCTTTTTGTTTTTTTACATTTGAAAATGTGTAAAAAACTTTGATCTACTTTTTTTTTTTGTTATATTTGAAAATATGTAAAAAGCATGTAGATCTACTTTTGTAGCACTACACATGTGAACGTAGATCTGCTTGGACCGTTTACAGGTTAATATTCATCCCATCATATTTCTACTGTAAATTGGTAACTTCTTGTATCTTCACATCTCTATTCAATCACTCCACAAAATGAAGACATTGAATCAGTTTGAAATAATGAATCGTATTTTTAAAACTGTACCACTCATACATTAGATACATTTCTTGTTGTGAATACAGTAAACTGCTTAAAAAATTCTACTTAACAAAAGATCACTGAATCAGTTTGAAAAATTAAGGCATACTTTTAAAATTGTACCATTTTTCATTTAGCTACATCCCTTTTTGTAGATTTAATTGTAATTAACTGCATAAGAAATCTTAATAATGTATGTCTAGTTCTTAAATAGTCTTTAAGCATTAAGATTAGTTTGCCAGAAATACACTGCATACTAATGGCTTTCTTTTGTGCCTAACAATATTTTATCACATGCAAACTACACTATCTGCATGCTGCATAAAAGAAAAAAAAATTTAATTAGGTACGTATGTGTGTTCCTACATTCTTCAATTTGAGAAAACACAGGTAACTACGATAATGATAAGCCAGTTATATTACTGAATCTACAATCAGTATTCACAGTTAATAATTTTGACTTTTAATGTGTTATGCATATGTCATATATGTGTATGGCAGATCCTCGAGTAATGAGCAGGTTACATTTATGAAAATCAGTGCATTATTCAAATCCACGTTAACCAAAATGAAGGCACATGGCAAAAATAATGTTACATTCCAGAGACCTCCAAAAAACAAGTTTTCTTAGGTAGGCTAAAAAGTCACCAAAAACAATTTTATCTTACCTTCAATTCTGGTTCTCATGCTTGCTGATATGAAAGTATATGAAGATGGTAAGATAAGATAAGATAAGATTTCGTTCGGATTTTTAACCCCGGAGGGTTAGCCACCCAGGATAACCCAAGAAAGTCAGTGCGTCATCGAGGACTGTCTAACTTATTTCCATTGGGGTCCTTAATCTTGTCCCCCAGGATGCGACCCACACCAGTCGACTAACACCCAGGTACCTATTT